AATATATGTTGTTTTAAACAGTTGCAGTTTTCTTGATAATCAACAGAAAATTGAATGGAAATTTTCATCCAGTGTCATGCCTGTTTACAGGCTTCAAGAGGAATGGCAACTATGGGTATAAAAAAGACCCACACGGGGGCAAAAAAGGACACAGAACTATACTTTGGTGGTAAACCCTGACAGCATTAGCATACATGATGCACAGTTCACCAGATGTGAGACACACAGAGCGAATATGACAGCAGAGTCGTGAGATTTGCGCCAGCAATAAACAACAAAATGGCGTCGTTTGTGTAGACAACGGTCGCTATGGAGAGGTTGCTAAACCGTTCATTCCAAACAAGGATGTACTCTCGCGACAAACTGGTTCCATCAGTTTGCGCTCCAAGCAAATGGTTTTGTGTGCTTCTGTAGACAGGAGCCTTGTCCACTCAACCCACGGGGTCCTTATCATAGAATCTACACTGAAGTGTGTGCCCATCAACGATAACACACTTGAACAATGTTCATCAAATTTATTGTATCGTGTGTATCGGGCTCCGATTCTTCGACATTGACCGCCAGCACATGGCATCAATTCAGAGGTGTTGTCACGGCTATAAACTCGTATCTCATGGATATAACCCTGTGAAGAAATAGTGTAAGCCTGTCTGTTGCGATTTCTGCGTCAAAGTAGAATGATCTGGCAAGAATGCAACAGATATTGTGTCGGGAACTGTCAACTGGTAAACGGTGCCTGACAGTGTATCCGCCATTTTGACAGCTCGGCATCCCAAAGCTTGGGGGACGTAGCAACAGTAACCAAGGTGGGCGGAGCTTGTCTCGGAAGTCGGAACTATGCATTACGTTTCAAGGTACTTTCACTACACATTATTTCAGCATAAAGTATTTGGAGAAAAATGCATTTTGAGATTAGGAAACATTCAACATGCTGCTTGTTTCAATCGCATGCATATCAATACTTTGTTTCCATACATTGATATATTATTACTTACTCAGTTGGTACTGCATCCAACTGAGTGAGTGAGTGACTTGGGTTTGACGCTGCTCTTAGCAATATTCCAACAATATCACAGCGAGGGACACCAGAAATAGACTTCACACATTGTAACCATGAGGGGAATCAAACCGGGGTCTTCAGCATGACGGACGAACACTTAAACCACAAGGCTACCCCACTGCCCCACATCCAACTGAAAACAGTGTGTAGATCGCAATACACAGGACCATGACATGCTGTATTTGGTCTGAACTGTTGACAAGAGATTGTAATTACTCAGATGATGATGCGTGTGTTTAAACTAGATTTATTTATATAAGTTAGTGAAATAATGCTCATGCGATTTGCTGAAAACAAGGTTTGTTTCAAAGCGCCCGAAAACGCGTAAGCGAAGAAAAGCCCGGATCGGATCGGATTTTGTCGGCACAGGTATTTTAGAAATGGTCCGACTGTACCCATCATCAATATCTTTGATATTTATTCCGAGGGTACATTTGCCATGGCGTAGAATATGACAATGTTTGTCTTTTTGGACAAACCAAAAAGACGTGTCATCACATCAATCAATCTATAATTAGTGAGTGAGTGAGTATGTTTTTACGCTGCTTTTTTTGCAACATGCCAACAACATCACGGCAGGGCACACCAGAAATGGACTTCACACATTGTCCCCATGCTGACAGTCGAACCCGGGTCTTCGGCGTGACGAGCGGACGCTTTAACCATTAGGCTACCCCACCGCCCTTCTGGACCAGACAATCAAGTGATCGACATCACTGAGCATCGATCAACGCAACTGGAATACGATGACATGTGTGTCAACCAAGCCGGATCTAATATATGAAAATCCGTTAGTCGCCTCTTACAAACAACAAACAGATTATCTAGTTCTTATTTTTTCCCAAAGGAAAGTTTGCCCTTTCGTGGAATATTACAATGTCTGCCTTCCCGATAAACCCAAAGGAACATCAACATCTAAATCTATAATTATACATAGATAAGTAGGAAATCTTCAGTTAAATGGTGTTCAGCACTAGTTTAAATAATCTGAGTCCCACTTTGGATAGAGAACTCGGTTTTTTATAAGTTCTGCTTGTTGTATAAAACATGTAAGTATTCAGAAAAAAATCTCTTTGCCCTTGAAGATCCGGGTTAGAATTGATTCTCAGTAACCCATGCTTGTCGTAACAGGCGACTAACGGGATCGGGTGGTCGAGCTCGCTGATCGTTCGTAATGTTAATTACTGCATTGTCAGGTTCAGACTCGATTATTTCCAGATTGTCGTCATACAGCTGGAATATTGCTGATTGCGGCTTTAAACAAATGAAAACAAAACGTTTTCTATCTAAATGAGGGAAGCATGTATTTGATCGAGTCGGGGCCAGATTCTTCAGCGACTGAAGTGAGCGAGTGACACAGATCATGAGTGAGTGAGTTAAGTTTACGCCGATTTCAGCAATATTCCAGCAATATTACGGCGGGGCACGCTGGACATTCGCACATTGTAACCATGTGGGGAATGGAACCCAGGTCTTCAGCGTGTCGAGCGAACACATTAACCACTTGGCTACCCCACCGCCCCATATATTGTGAACATTTCATAACTTCGGGTTTTCGTTATTGCCTCAGCCAGTCGAGGGGCCTTAATTCCAGAGTTGTCTTCGATAACTATAATACTCCCGGGAGCGGGTGCCACACCTACCTGGGATAGATATCCCACTGACAGACGTCCAGGAAGTTGCAAGTTGATAGTGAGTGAGTTTAGTTTTATGCCGCTTTTACCAATATTCCAGCAATAACAAGGCTGGGGGACACAAGAAATGGGCTTCACACATTGTACCCATGTAGGGAATCAAACCTGGATCTTCAGCGTGACGAGCGAACGCTTTAAGAACTATGCTACCCCACCGCCCCTAAAGGTTGATAGACCGTGGAAGCGTGATAAACTACAGTACAACCAGAAATTATTAAAAATTTAAAGATTGTAAAAAAAAATTAAATTTTCACTCATTACTCACGTATTAAATGTGAATATAAGCAGAACATAACTCCAGATTCAAAGACAGGTGAACAGTTAGTATTTTGTCAAGTCACCATAGGCAGCAATGCAGGCTTCAATGCGGCGGGGCATACTACTGATCAAAGAAGTTAGAAAGTCGTGGTCCATGCTGTCCCAATATCGGACCACCTCTTCTTTCATTTCAGCAATATTTGTCAGATTTTTCTTATTGACACTTTCCTTCATAAGTCCCCAAACATTTTCTATTGGATTTAGGTCAGGGCTATAGCTTGGCCAATCTAATAATGTCATATTTTGGGTCCGAAACCAGGGCCTGTGAATGCTTTGAACGATGTTTTGGGTCGTTGTCCTGCTGGAAAATCCAAAAATTTCCATAGAACACGTGAGCAGATGGAAGTAAATGTCCCTCGAGAATATGTGTGTACCGCTCACTGTTCATATTCCCTTCAAATACACAGAGGGGCGTTGCCCCTAACACAGATATGCCACCCCACACGTTAAATTTCGGACTGTACTTTGGGCGCTGATACAAAGGTTTTTCAGTTTGTTTGGTCCAGAATTTCAGTGTATTAGGAACAGCCACACAGAACTTTCATCTGAGAAAATCACATTGTCCCAGTTAAAATTTCTATGCTGTAAGCACCAGTTCAACCTTCGCCCTTTTGTTCAGGTTTCATGATCGGTGATGGAATTCCCTCGACTTTTCTGCCAACCCATTGCATGCAGCTCAGTTCTAATTGTCTCCTTACAGACAGCCACAGTTCCTCTATCAATCATATCCAGCCTTAAGTTTTCTAAACTCCTTCGTTTGTTTTTAGAAACAAGAATACCAAGCCGCCTCCTGTCACCGACAGTCAATTTTCTGGGCCTACCTGCGCCTCCTTGGTGCTCAATGCCATATCCATTTGCAATATTTTTCAAAACACGATAAACAGTGGACAAAGGGATGCCTGTTCTACTTGAAATCACTTTAGCTGATCTGATGTCCTTGTTATAATACTCTAAAATCAACTTCCTCTTCTAAATCATCCATACTGAGGATCACTGAAAATGTCGTCTGCTAGCAAGTAAACAAAGGGGGATAACTCTTCACAAACTAATGAAAAAGGATTAACGGAGTTGTCTCTCTTGAATGAAACCAAGCACTTGATAGCTGGTCAAGGTTGTTTATACTAGAAATCCAATTAAACATATTCCTAAAATTCTCAATAATTTCTGGTCATACTATAGAAGTTGGTTGAAAGTAATTCAGCTTTAATCTGTTTTGTGGACCTTATGACATTGTTGTAATCGGATATCTGAATTCCTAGATCATTTCTAACAGATTGTATATACACATTCACACCTGATACCTCAACTGTAAGACATTCCACCTCACTGCCCTACAGTTAGTACAAGTTTGATAACCGGGCTGAGGCCGTTTCACCATTGACGGTCTCGTCCACCGTGAGTCGGTGAGACTGTAGTGCACGTGCTGCACGAGGTGGCCGAGAGCTGACACGCATGTTGTCTTTGAACAACCTGTCCAAGTAAATGGAAAATACGATAACCTTGAATGTTTAATTATATTAATTCTGTGCGCCCAATTTTGTGAAAATTTGTGACAATATTTAATTTAAACCAGCCATACCACAGCGATGTTATTTTCTGCTTCTATTCAACATACACATTAATTCTCTCTGTTGTGTACTAAAAGAGACAGACACATTATTTGCGTCTGGTAAAAGCATGTCCGTTATGAATTTTTTTGTCAATTTTGTATGATGTGATGAAGTGTACCGCAAAGTAATTAACTGATAATAGTAACTTGCAATTCTACAATATTTCTTTTTCTTTTTCACCAAATTCGAAACAGAAAAATAAATAAAGTCGCTGACAAATCAAGATTATTATTATGACGTGTATACCCTTTCGGCAACACGTCAGATTCTATATTTAGACTGAGGGTAAACCCAGGATCTCCTGACCAGATAAGTACTTCCTAGCAACGAACAAACATCCGCATTCTGTCAGTATATATATCACCGGTTTGTATACTGAGATACAACACATACTTCGCCACGATGTTTGGACAAGGTAAGTGAAATGACGCTGTACCTCACACTAAAGACTGCAGTATTTATTCTTAAAGATTGAAAATATAGTCAATGTGTTATATCTTTAAATATATAGGAATGGTTTCACAGAGATGAAATATGTCAGCAAATAGAAACGTCCTTCCAGTACATGAACCACTGTCAGTGATTCGTATCACAAATGAAACGTGTATTTTTTTTAATTTTTGCCATCCCACCCTCTTTGACTATTTTTTAACCCTTAAATACCATATCACAGATTGCATTAAAGACGCCATACACTGGACATTGGCGGTAAGACAGTGTGAAGGTTATATATACTCGTGCCAATAATGGCTGTCACCCCTTCAATATTTTTCTTGGAGAGGGGTGTGGCGTGTGTATGGGGTTGGGGTGGGGGATGGGATGGCATGAGTATATTTGAAGAGCATGATACAATTTCCAGATGTAACCTGGACAGTATCAGCAGATAAATATGTATTTTTGGCATTTTCATAACTGCCTTTAAAAAATTGACGATAATTCTAAAATGAGGTAACGGTTTCTTTTCGTCTCATGAGTCAGACGTGTAAAAACAGAATTACCTATTTCTGATAGTGTTTTTCGGATTCATAATGCGATGTGCACGTGATCTTGAAAGACCTGTTTAAAATATGGGTGGAAGGTTCGAGGGTTTGTTCTCAAGCCAAAAGTGGCGGTGGGTAGCCTACTGGTCAAAGCGTTGGCTCGCCACACCGAAGATCCGGGTTCGATTCCCCACATGGGTACAATGTGTGAAGCCCATTTCTGGTAACCCCCGCCGTGATATTGCTTGAATATTGCTAAAAGCGTCGTAAACCTATATTCACTCACTCTCACTCAAAAGCCAAAATCCGGGTTCGTTTCCTACATGTGAAGTCGATTTCTGGTACCCACCATCTTGACATATAGGAAATATACTAAAAGTGTCGTAAGCCCGAAATAACACATACATTTGAACAAAGGCATGTACGGCTCGTACAATACAACAAAACAAACCGAAACCTGAGTCTCATTAACCTATTCAGACAATGACCTACTTTCTCGTGTGAAAGTGAAAATAGACATCATAAGCAACTATGGTTACACTGAATTCCAATTCCTTGTTTCAAAAGAAAATGGTATTTACAAATGTAATTTAATTTTAAATTTTAATAACATCGTATTTCTATATTTATGGCTAGGTGTAGGCAGCATGACCCTAACTAAGACGTCACAGACCGCAGATTCACAATGCATCTGGCTCACTGGTTACACCTGTTATGTGTTTTTTGCGCTTATTCAGAGTGGTTCTGTAACGCACAATGTGATTGATATAATATCAAGTCCGTACCAGACCGCAAAACTTTTCTAGTGAATTTCCAGATTTCCGTTTCTCAGAGCACGCTGTGCGACAGAGCACGGTGCACGACGTGTTTGCAACGACTAGAAGGAGCGTAGTGTTGAAATATACAAGTGATTAGATGTATCAAATAATACTGATTGATATCTATATATCCATTTGAACAAGTTGGTCTCAAAATTCTGCTGGACTGGTTATTGTACTAAGTTGCGCAATAGGACGGAACCCATTCAGCAGGAAACGAGACTGATGTGTAATCAATGTTTTGACTTGTACGTTTAACAAGTACACTATTTGTCGTTATGATATTTTTCAGGGAGAGGACCCAGACTTCAGATTCCCAATCCAGATATTAACACTGGAGGCAAGGGATCAAGACCAAATAGTAAGGACGTTGTCACGATCAAATTAGTATACTAATTATTCTTAGGTTTCTGGGTCTGTGCAAAAAGCACAATCAGCAAATCAATTGAAGTTAAGCAACGTCCTTATGGGTGATCGTGATTGGCACGTTGACTCTTGCGACTTTCTAGGAACACATGCAACTCATGTCGTCTCACCTTAGGCAAGTGACTTTGATCAAAATTGTCTCTGTTCACCCAGCAGTGAATGGGTACCCGGTGGGAATAAATCACAGGCAGCTTAGGTTGTTCTGCTCACTGATCAATTGCCAGCGGTAATAATTATAGCGCTTTGAGCATACACCTTGTGTTTGGAAGTACAGCAAAATAAGTACACACATTATTATCATGACACTGACTCTTTATCTAAGAGGACAAAATACAAAGAGCAGTGGGAATCAGAATTAGTGCATTTTCTTACAAACACTAACGATTTAGTTAGATCGAGCGCACGGGGTGGCCCATTGGTATTTTTCGCGGCATTTCGATTTGAAGATATGTGAAGATCCGGGTTAGAACTCAACTTCAGCAACCCATGGCCACGCTTGTCGTAAGGGTCGATTGAGGGGATCGGGTGGTCAGACTCGCTGACTTGGTTGATACGCCATCATATCCGTAGATCGATGCTCATGATGTTGATCACTGGATTGTCTGGTCCGGACTGGATTATTTACAGACCGCCGCTTCATAACTGGAATATTACTGAGTGCGGCGTACAACTAAAGTCACTCACCTAATTTGATGAGATTGTCTCTTGGGTGTACCAGTCTTGTCCCGATTTGCCTTATTATTGTTGCTTTATCAGCACAAAGACTTGGTTTGATTTCACCATATTAATAAAATTACTAAGACATGCTTATATGTGGTCTCGTTGCGCATGAAGTTCACAATACGAATATAAACTAAACTACTGTTTAAAGCGACGTTACTCAAACACCTCACTCACTCTAAATAGTTGCCTTCATGAAATCTGTTAGCGAGTTGTCTGGAGGTCAAGTGTAGTACTCAGCTGAACATCATCTATTAACCAGATTTCTATATTGTACGTTGTCAAATCGTAAACATGTTGTCTGTTGTAGTTCCGAACATTCCACGTCCAAGAAATGTACCCAACGGACCTGCCCCCAGAGATCCACCTGCACCGAAGGCAGAGCAAGGTGGGGACTGCACCATATCCTAACCAGACGCACGCCAACGCAGCCACGTCTGTTTCCATGGCAACAATACTGACGGAATTTTAATACGTTTTATATCTCGGTGGAAATACTAAAATAAAACATGGAACAAAATGAAGCTCTTTATTTCTGTTTCACAAGAACATAATGAGAACGAACGATAACAATAATTTTTCTTTTTTTTCAAATAAGTTATTTATCACGTGGTTTAAAGAAAAAGATGATATTTGCACGATGATAAAACTTGTCATTTTTGTCAAATAAGTTATTTATCATTTATATTATTTTTTTAGTTCTCAAAAAACATGCCCGAGAGTTTCACAACATAGATATTTCTTTGCTGATCTAATAATGGCAAACTGCGTCCTTGTGTCGCTGACGCAGGCCGACGGTTGTCCACCACAAAATGTTATGTATTTCACATATGACGTATGTATTTCCGTGTAAAAATATGCTAGTACAAAAACAAAAACGAGCGCACACACACAGTCATTTGTACACTATAAAGCCTCTGCCGGGTCCAACGGCACGAATACGACACGACAGTACATTTAGGGAATCCTAGTGAGTGAATATGGTTTTACGCCCCTTTTAGCAATATTCTAACAATATCAGGGTGCGGGACACCAGAAATGGGCTTGACACATAGCACCCATGTAGGAATCGAACCCGGGTCTTCAGCGTGAGAAGCGAACGGTTTAACCAACCGCTTGGCTACCCCACCGCCCCAAGGAATCCAAGAATTGCATGAATCGTAACTAATGGGTCATTTGTTGGTCATGATGAACGAAATGGGATTCATATTAAAAAATCCTGTTATTAAGTTGCTTGGAACGTGTACGCATGCTATCAAGAAGATGGACGATTGTGTGTTAAAATACCCACTTTCTATGGCAAGGAGTAACCTACTTATCCACATCCAGTTAAAGTAAACTTAGGCTCAGTATTATTCGTAACGAATAATACTGAGCCTAAGTTTACTTAGACTGATCCACATATAAACAGACTTTACATTCGACGGTGGTCGCTGCATTTAACGTTTTAGCTCAGCGTCAATCAGATGATGATGATGATAATGATGACGATGACAATGGTATCTATCCAGGAATGCATGCTCTAACCGCAACACAAACGTGCAACAGATGAGTCCCCAAAGAGTGATTGGTATCAGGTGATTGGTCAACAGACAGATAATGACTGTCAAACCAGGTTTGCAAAACCTCACACTATTACACTACGACTGCTGGCTTCTAAACTCTAGAGTATTGATAGCCCTCATAATGCATAACATCAAACTCACTGACTCACTCGGACACAATTTTGAAAATGATGGAATTTATTATATTTATTGTTTGAAAACACGTGATAAACGCACTGGCACTTTGTATCTTGTTAAATCGTACTAGTATTGTATGCAAGATTCATCCAAACTCATTGAATGCAATTGATACATTTCCCACTTAAACACAGTCATGAGTCATGTTCCTTCAGATATACTGACTTACCAAAATATAGTACACACACACTATGACACTATGACTGCTGGCTTGTAAACTCTAGAGCATAGATTAACTCGGCGTGGCCCTCCCAATGCATAATATCAAAGTATCTACGGAGTTTGCATTGACCAGTGGTCTACTCCCATTTGTGAGAACTCCTAATTGTGCGACTCCCAGTTATGAGACAGTGGAGTAGGTAAGTAACAAAGAAAACACACCATACTCCCCTGTCTGATAGAATAGATTAACCCTAGCTAATTACTGATTTGCTATGTAAAAGAATCTTGGGGAAGTCTTAATGAAACTTTATGAGATAAATTGATTAACATACACTTTGTGTAGGCAACTTCGTGATCATTTGAAAGAGAAATTAATTTACCTACTCAGATTTACATCCGTCTCCTAAACTACAAGATATAGTCTAAGAAATAACTCTGAAATACAAGTTTACAGTCGAACTGCCTCTTATGCCAGTTCCTTTTTACCCGGCACTACCCGTTATAACCTGGATACCATTTTCAACTTAAACCAGAAAATAGTTGAATCTGTCCACGATTATATCATCAAGACACAAGGATTCAAATTTTCTCAGGAAAATACTTAAATTAACTCAACAACCTTCTCATGATTGATTTATATTCCTACAATAGCTTGTTAGACACATACAACTGTAACTCTCTAATTATGACTACTTAGAGAATAGATGTATTTGATGTATACTTAAAAATATATTTATGAAATAGTCAATATCGATGATGTCACATCCTCCATTCCATTTTGTATTTCATGTTGCATGGGAGCGGTGTTAACATAAGCAGTAATGCTTGCTCACCAATCCCAATTCATTTTCATAAATGATAATAAAATATGTTTAAACCAAAATGACTTTCAAACTTCATATTATTCTATTTCTTCTGTGTAAATAGAATCTTTGATAATCTATTTCATTAATCTACTCATCAATGACTCCTGTGGGTACTCTTCAACAACTGGGCTGATCCCACTTTCATTGTAGGGATGTGAAAACGCCACCTATGTGCACTGAACCATTAATTAATGTGTATCACAACTGGGAGTTCTCACAAATGGGAGGACACAAATGGGAGGACACCTGACCAGTTGTTACACTCTCCATCTCACCATCACCAACATACACTGGGGAACCTTTCTCCATCTCCACATAAATGTAATAATCTTCCTTTGCTCTTATAGCCACTGGAGTATCCAGGTGATATCTCTTTATATGACGTGTTTCCAACACCTCTTCCGAACTTCGTAATGTAAACTTGATTACACCAAATATGTTCCTGTAATCGTCCCTGCTAATTTGACACGTAGAGAACTCTTTATCCCCCTCTCCCCGTCCATACAGACATATACTGTGTACAGTGATGTCGCGAGAACAAGTAAAGTCGATTCGTCCATATACACGGGTTTGTGTTGTTTGTACACCACTGAATACTTTGTGTCGATCGAAGAGAACAAAGTCTTTTCCTGATTGCCGAATAAAAGGGGATGGGACTTTACCAGGACACAGCAAACATGACATAATTTTAACGTTTTCCGCATCTGTCAAAATCCCTCTGGGTACAACCTTGTCGACGTAAAGCTCCTTGTCCATACTGGTGAAGGGAATCCCGTAAGCTATATCACCTAGGATCGATCTGAGGTTGTTGGGAGTTATCTCCCTTCCTTTCCGATAATGGGATATACTTGAAACCCTCCGATGCGAAGCAGGTGTCTCCATGCCAAAGCACAAGTTTAAAAGCTTTGTTGTAGAGATCTTTTTCATCAAACATATGCGCCTGCTCGAGAATCAGACAAGCATTTTCGGGTGTCAAATTTTTCTCCAGGAAAGTGAGGCAAAGACTCTCAAGACCCCCGACAGCATACTTCTTGGCCAGGTACAGCAATCCAGTGACATTTTCGGGCGTGACAGTCGCACCATCTGTGTACAAATACCTGCAAGAAACAACTGAACGTATAGGCGACAGTTACTCGTTAGACCATGGGGCCGTGGGAAGCCTCGTGGTTAAAGCTCGTCATGCCGGATTCGATTTCCAACATGGGCACAATGTGTGAAAACATTTCTGGTGTCCCCCGCCGTGATATTCCTGAAATATTGCTAAAAGGGGCGCAAAACCATACTCACTCACTCACTCGTTAGGCAAAATTTTGAAAATTGTTTGCATTTATTATTCGAAAGCACGTGCAACACAAATGCATGCTCTGTATATCTCTGTATTGCCAACGCCAAGATCGACGAGATTTCAAACGCAAATCGTACGTTATTGATTCAATTTTAAGTGAACTGCATTTGCTCTGCGCTATCCGAAACATGGTAAACGTTTCTTGTTAAAAATCGTAATATTTCATGCAAGATCCATCCATGCCCCTAGAATGCAATCTAAGAGGAAGCTGATGATACATTACCCACTTACACACAGTTATAAGCCATGTTCATTCAGATATACTGACGTACAAAAATATAGTACACACCTTGGGCTTTGGTATGATTTTTCTCCAAAGGACAACAATACAGTACTGATTGTGACTAATACGTCAAATACAGTGTGATCGTGTTGAGAATCACTTTGTTTGCTTGTAAACGTGCCTGCAATACTCACATCAACATTTCCGAGAACACGTCTGCCTCAATGTCAGATAATTTTATGTCATCTTTCTCCGCTAGGGGTCCATACATCATTGCATCAAACACATGGCTTCGATTGATGAGCACGTAGTGATGTGCACGGACTGTCTCTCCATCTTTGCCAACCAGGAAGGTGACGTCAGGGGTGTGTTTTGATGTCAACATGTGGCGGTTACACTCAACCACGGACGTTCCATTTTGCCAATTCTCAACAAATCCAGATTCAGTCATGTCTGTCTGTTCACTAAAATGAGAATTTAAAGAAAGTGCAAGAAGTTTGCCAGATTCGGATGCTATGTCTGTCTGTTCACTAAAAGTAGCATTCCAAGACGACGCAAGGAGTTTGCCAGATTCAAATGCTATGCCTGTCTGTTCACTAAAATTAGCATTCCAAGAAGACGCAAGGAGTTTGCCAGATTCGGATGCTAATGTCTGTCTGTTCACTAAAATTAGCATTCCAAGAAGACGCAAAGAATTTGCCTCAAGACTGCGGTCACAATTCATTAACTTCATGAAGACATCTACTGATCTGAGACTAGTTCCGAACACGATTCACTGTACATAGAACACCTCTTACTGTTTGTTGTTAAACGCCTGTCGGTTGACGACCACCCATAAATAACCCAACCTGAACCACACAATCCAGTGTTTGAACAATTTCATTAAAACCAGATCTTAGATCTAGTCGGAACTAACATTTATCGACCATGAGAACCGATCTATGCTTGCTAAATCAGGACAATCAGAATGTGTTGTCGAATCAAGTATCCTTGAAAATGTTAAATACGAGGTATGAACCCTGACGCCCCACCACCCACCACCCGTCCCCCGAGTGTCTGAAAAGATCTGAACTGACTGTAAATTCCATATGATTGTGTCCAGTATACTATTTATTTGTGCTTTCGTATGATTTGTTTTGAATATTTCATCTGATGTATATGCTATCATCATATGAACTGT